ATATGTGGAAAAATAGAACCATGTTAGAAGACTTTAACTTCTCTCATTTGATCAACAACAAATCAAGTGAATTTCAACAAGATACAAAAAGCCTAATTAACAATATGGTGTATATAATTCTGTCATCAGAGAAGAGAGTCTAGCCTTCTATCTTCTACTCAAGGAACACTCACTAGAAATGACCACACACAACAACAACAAACATCAATAACTCAAAGAACCTAGAGAACATTCTGCAATCATTCAACAAGACTGAAGATAATATATGTAATAAACCTACAATGGAAGTTTCAACATTCTCAAGCTAACCTTAATCCATAAAAGAATAAACATCTTCCAGGATACAGAAAAGATGGAGGTAAAGGTCAAATACACGTACCAGCAGCTAAAGCACTAATCAGCCAGCCTTAAGCCTTAAGAACAGAAATAGAGCAGCTGGAGAGATGGCTCAGCAGTTAAGAGCACTGGCTGTACCCGGGCAGTGGTGGCGCAAGCCTTTGATCCCAGCACTCAGGAGGCAGAGGCAGGCGGATCTCTGTGAGTTCTAGGCCAGCCTGGTCTCCAAAGCGAGTTCCAGGAAAGGCACAAAGCTACACAGAGAAACCCTGTCTCGGGGGTGGGGGTGGGGGGAAGCACTGGCTGCTCTCCCAGAGGACCTGGGTTCAATTCCCAGTGCCTACATGGTGACTCACAACAGTCTGTAACTGCTGTTCCTGGGAATCTGACTTCCTCTTCTGGCCCCTGTGCACACCAGGCAAGCAAGGGGTGAACAAGCATACATGCAGGCAAAACATCTATATACAGAAAATTTAAAAAAATAGAAAAGACCTGAAATAAAAGGCAATGACCAAAAAGAAACTAGTTTTCAACTTGTTTTAAAAAAGAAAAGACAAAGAATAAAATTGATCTAAGGATATCAGAGAGACTTAATAAGGTCAAGGGTAAGCATGAACTGGAAGATCAAAGCCATAAAACTAAGAAATAAGTTTAATCAAATAAACCATCTGCTAACCCAATCAAGAGGGTCAAAGCCAGGTCTGGTGCCTCATGCCTGTAATGCCAGCACTCAAAAAGTTCAAACAAAGGTATCACTAAGAGTTCAAGGCCAGTTTGGTCTACCTGGTGAGTTCTAGCAAAATGAAACTAAAGTAAAGGTTGGCAGAAGGGTGGAAAATAAAGATGAAAATCAAGAAATAAAGGAAAACCATTAAGACACTACTATCAAAGGTGCATATAGCCGGGCAGTGGTGGCACACATCTTTAATCTCAGCACTCAGGAGGCAGAGGCAGGCAAACCTCTGTGAGTTCGAGGCCAGCCTGGGCTACAGAGTGAGTTCCAGGACAGGCATCAAAACTACACAGAGAAACCCTGTCTCAAAAAAAGACAAAAAAAAAAGGGGGTGCATATAGTGGTGCACACCTGTAATCCTAGCACTCAGAAGACCATGGAGGACTGTGAGTTCAAGACTAGCCTAGGCTACAAAGAAAGAGTGTTTAAAATAAATAAATAAATAAATAAATCTGGGCATGGTGGCACATATTGTCAATCCTAGCACAAAGGAGGCAAAGGCAGGCAAATCTGAGTTTGAGGCCAGCCTAGTCTACATGGGGGATTCCAGACCCTGTCTCAATAAAATAATAAGACCCTACCAAGCTCCAATCCAATGGTCACCCAAGCAGCTCTGGTTCAATTAAATGGATCATAAAACCAAACCAAAATTCATGAATCTAGGAAAGGGACTGTGGGGTAGGGGTTAATAGTGATAGGAGAAACTACTAAGAATGTATTTATTACATACATTTATAAGTTTGTCAAAAAACAAACAAACTTTTTAAAAGCACAAAAAAGTGAGCTCCTAGATGGAAAGATAAAAAAAAAAGCAGGTTGTGTTTATACATTTATCCAAACTGGCCAAAAAATACTGATGAAAATTATTTTCTAGCAAAATCTATCCAAAGACATTCCAGATGACACAGAAAACCTACACAGACCAATACCATAGATTCCTGTGGAAGGTTTCATAGGAATATACCAAATCTTTAAAGAACAGTTAACTCAAAAGAATAAATCAGTGTTACTGAATAAAAAGTAAAAATTGCAGAGGCAGGCGGATCTCTGTGAGTTCGAGGCCAGCCTGGGCTACAGAGTGAGTTCCAGGAAAGGCTCCAAAGCTACAAAGAGAAACCCTGTCTCAAAAAACCAAAAAAAGTAAAGATTGTCTTTCTGAAACACACCTAACTTTGATAAGAAAACCTACCAGCCTGCATATGCAAACATATACAAGTAGCACATGGCTTTCAGTGTAACAACCCGAGTTCATCCAACTATCCCTTCTATGTTTACAATCTTCCATAATGAAAAGCCAGGATAAAGTTTACTTGAAGGAAAAACATTTCTATGTAAACGTGACTTTTCACCTATCAAAAGAATGACAACCATGTACAGGAAAAGTCTGCCTCAGAAACTTCCAGTAGGTAGATAGACAACTCCTATGGAAAGGAATTTGCTCACAATTATCAAAATTACAAATGTGCATTCTTCCTGATATAACAAGGTCACCTTTAGGAATTTGTCTTCTATCTAACACCCAGACATGCGTGAAATTACAATGTACACAATAATTCACTGTAGTACTTGTTGTCATAGCAAAGACTAGAAACATCTCAATAGCCATCAATCGTGAGCTGTCTAATTACACTACACCGTATGAATTCTCAAAAGTCATTAAAAGAGAAAAGAAGTTTACAGGTACATATAAAGTAAGTTCTTTTGTATTAAGTTTAAAAAGCAAGATACAAATAAAATTATAAGGTGAAACTTAGGCAAAAATTGCAAGACTAGTCAATAGAAGCAGAAAAAAGGCCTTTTCTGCCTAGGTCCTTTTGCATCTTTTGAATTAGAAACCATGTAACTGTCACCTTGAGCAGAAAAAGAACATATGATGTTTGATGTTTTTTTTTCTTTAAACCTTGCCCTTGCAAATGATACCCCATTTAGAATACTTGTTATTCTTGCAGACTGAATTTCCAGTAAAGATATAATTCAAGAAACTCTTATTTTAAAGGCTTAAACAAATACTCCACACAGAAGAAAGGATGACAGCAGATAAGCCAGAAGTGTGCCTGGTTAATGTTTTTTAACTGTGATGATACTTTAGAATGACCCTGGGTCTTCTAAAAATACCAGTGCCCTACATCCCACCCCTACACTAATACCAGAAATTCAGAGCATGAGGCCCTGGCCCCAAACCACTGACCTCAATGCTTTTAGAGAACATTCATTTCCAGATACTCGCCCCATAGATTATCCACAACACTATCCACTACTGTAACATGCCTACTCAAGTAACATCCTTGCCAAGATGCCTATTAACACGGGAGATATTAACTGCCACAGAAATCAATTAACTGCAATTTCAGGCACACTATTCCAACTATCACAAACTTGGAATGTGGGAGTGACCAAGATTCCTTTTGTACTTTTTACTGAGAATTAATTTGTCTCAGTTTACCCTAACAAAAGGTTCCCATGTTCAAATAAACTCTATACACTAAGTTAGAGAAACACGCCTATTTATAGAAATAGCAACATATTCCTTCTAAGCTGTGAAGTCAGGCCCTGCCTCAAACCTCTAAAACTCTACAAGCAGGGTGGGATAAGAAAATGCAGTGAGTAAAGGCATCTTCCGCAAGCCTGACCACCAGAGTTTGATCTCTGGGACCCACATGGGAGAAGGAGAGAACTAACTCCCACAAGTTGTCCTCTGACCTCTATAGACACACCATGACAGTGTACCCACACAAATACATACATAAATAAAATGTTTAAGAATAAATTTTACAAGTAGCCAGAGAGAGAGAGAGAGAGAATAGGGTCCAACTACTGAAAAGCTTTTGAAAATGAAACTTAAGACAAAAAGGCCAACTTCTCACTCATCTTAGATTTTCATCATCTATCTTTGGCAGCTTGATTTCTAAAACTTAATTTGGCATCAGCTTAAATCTTTAATCTATACCTCTCTATCCATCCTGTAAGTTTGCCCCATAGACAACATTACATTTTGCATATCTGGTCTTCCCAGAAGGTTCTACCAAATTTGCACTTTGATACCCAACCCATCATCCCATGACATTTTTAAATCAAATGAATTAAACAGATCTAGGCTTTGAGAGCCTAAGTCATCTTGATTTTCCTTCAGCAATGCTGAGTTCCATTTTTGTTTTATTTTCAGGTGTTTCACAACTGCATTCGATCTGCTGGAGTTGGAATGACATCCTCTGGAGAAACATGATTGATCAGTTAATGGAAGGTGGTAGAATCTATTCCCACCTAAGTTAGGCCTCGGGCTTTATTGGGGTCCTCTCCCTTCCCATCTCAATCCATTTACACAAAGTACTTGCTCAGCTGCCAATGGGTGCAAGGTGGTCACACTTAGGCTGGAGCTGTCCTGGAACCCCTGCTCTGTAGCCAGGAGCCCACAGGTCAGCTCTTGCCCAACAAGTAAGGTATTTGCAGCCCACAACTGTGACTGTTTTAAGGTATCTTAATGGAGACGTTCAGGTCCTGCCACTCCAGGCTACCCAACACCTTACAGCAGAAAAAGAACAAAACGCCACTTCAGGATTTACTCAGCCTCAAGGTGTTTCTAAACGTCTTACCTAACCATTAAAAACTAAAAATAAAAACGTTTAAGAGATCTTTCCCAAGTTTTAAGGACAGTGAGGTTTGAGTCAAGTAGATCTGAAGCAAGGGTTGGATAGCTGAGGAGTTCCGACTGGCATGAGGATCCTTGGACCTAGCTGGGCGTGGGGGTGTCCGGCATTGCCCCTCCACCTCCTGAAACCCGAAACCTCAGCCCCAGGAGAGCCCCAGGCTTGTATCCCCATCACCCCGCCCGGCGGTTCCCACGGACTTTGCCTTGAGGCTGCAAGGCGGGCCGGGATGGCGGCTCCCTCACTTCCTCGGGGCCTTGGCGGTGGCCCCATGGCGTCGCACTCACCGAAGTCCAGGAACTGTTTGATTGAGAGCGGTGACGGAGAGAAGCGGGAGTAGCGCTCGATCTGCTTGGGCACTGGCTGCTTGAGCAGCTGGTAGAAGAGCCGCATCCTCACCCTGGTAATGCGCACATCCACCGAGACGTCCCGGACCGCTGCAGGGGCCGCCGACACCGAGCCGCACCACGAAGGCGGCGCCGGCGGGGCTTTCCCTCCACCTGGGGGCTCGGCCTTGGCGCCACCAGAGCAGTCGCCACCGCAGCACCTAAACAAGCACCGGCGGCGGGAGTTAGGCGGCCGTGGCCCGCTGCCCGCGGGTTCTTAAGCCCCGCCTGGAAGAGGCGGAGTCTGCCGCTGCACGTACGCGGCGCGCGTGGGATGTGAGGGGCGCGAGGGGCACGCGGCTGCACGCGCGCGCCGCTGATTGGCTGCCGCCGCCGCCAAAGCATTCTTAGAGCCCCGGTAGTCCGGGTAACACGCACAAACCTCCCGCCCTCGCCTGTGGGGCTTATCCTGGTCCTCGCGAGCCTGGCTGCGGCAGGTCGCTTCCCGGATCAGGTCTTCCAAAGACCTAAAGGTGCTTGGAAGCCTGGAGGACGCCAGGGGCCCACAGCCTGAAACACGGATCTTTAGCGCTGCCCTAGACCTTTCCAACCCCAGGCCCCTCTTCCGGAAGGCCCTCCTTAGATCAGCTGACTGCTCCGCTTTAAGTTGTTGCTTGCAGTCCTATGCTTTTTCAAATTCTTTACCCCTTAACTACATGGTTTCTTTTATCCCCTCCAACAATACTGGTAAAGCACAGAATTAAATGGAAGCTCCTGATTCGCCCCCACCCCTGGCCACTGGGCAGAATTCATTGTAATATCAGTTAACCTGGCCTCAGGAGATGTGCTCCCTTTCGGCCCACCTTCACTCTGGTGAATTCATTTGGGCCAATTGTTACAAAAAGGATTGTTACGTCACTGGCTGCGGTTCCTGGCTCTATACCTCCAGTAACCACCTGAGCTAATAACTGCACAAGATCCTTAGGTCACTAACTCTATTTCATGCCCCTCTCACTTCTACCACCATTGGAGGAATGCATTACAAATAAAAGTCATTAACACTTGATTTCCATGCTTCCTAGCTTCCCTCTCCCCAAAACAGTTGGATGGAATTCATCATAGTTATTTCATTGCCCCCCTTCTGCCCCCACATACAACTGGAAAGGCTCAAATTACAGCCACTGAACATTCTTTCACAACCCCTTAACCACCATAGAACCCTGACTCAGTTTCACCACTATTTGGGAGCAGGTATCTATGTTTACACTGTGCTGGATTTTCTTTGCATGATAGTGAACTTGATTCATGGCTCAGTATATGAAATTGGTATTTCCTAATGTGGCTATATGAAACACTGCTTGCTTTAACCATTACCATCAAACATTGACTTAATGTTTGATAATATATAAACATCAACTACAAAGAAAGGTTAAAAAAAAACCTTCTTAATCCGATTATCAGTGTAAAGGTTTTATGCCTTCATTTGGGTGTTTATGTACCCATTTCTTTGCTTTATAAAATTATTGCAAGTTTATCTGAATTTAAAGAAAAATAGCACATGCATTCAGAGATATACAACTATGATTGGTACCTGGACTATTCTGTCTTTTCCATTCAAAGAAAAGCCTAAAGAGACTTAGTAATCTTTCTAAAAGGCAGTTTTACCAACAGAGCACAGCACTGACTGCAGTTGGAGTGTATGGGCAGACAAAAAGAAGGTACGGCCTGTGGCTGTCTACTCACTTTTCTTGGGTGCTGCCTACTGATGGAGTTTTACTGGTAGCAGTTATGGATGGAGATCACCAAGAAGGGAAAAGCTGGGTGTTGGTGGGGACAGAGGTTTTCCACCTATGTGACATCTTTCTGAACTTACTCATCAACTTTTTCGTAATTTCCTTTTCTGCTGCACAAACTGCTACTTTAAAGCTATTTATTCTGATGTTTTTAATTACTTAAAATGAGTGTGCCTAATTTTACACTTCTCTAAAAAGTGTCACAGTCCTAAAAGTTGGGAAAATGTGAAAGAGGCCTGCATAATGCAAACTTGTGCTGGTCCATGGCTCACATGACGCAGCCCGGAACTTGAGCCTATCATTAGCATGCTGTGTGACCTAAGACTAGTCCCTTAGCCTTTCTGTGTCTCAGTTATTGTAACGTCAGGTGGAGATGCATGACTTCTCTCCCTTACATTTGTGACAATTTAATACAATAAATCATATCTAATACAAATATAAGGCACTTTTGGTCTTCTTTTGTGCATGATAAGGGTTAATCTCGAAACTAAAGCACGTTGATTTCAGTGGTAATTATCTCCTGAGTTTGAATCATCTCTGTTTTTCCAGCTTGTTGTGCACAATAAGGTCTTGCACAGAAGGTTCTTCATGAAATCTCTAGCCCATTCACAGCAGCCGCACCTGGAAGTTTGTTAGAAATGCACATCCTTGGCCTCCATCACAGTCCTACTGAAACCAACACCTTGGAGGGGAGGCCCAAGGACTTGACCACAAATTCTTTGATACGCCTGCCTTCAAGAGCTACAGCTTAATCCTCCTCCCCTAAATGTGGGCTAGGCTTGCAGTAGCCTCTAACCAATAGATTATGGTCCAAAGTGATGAAATTACACTCAGTGGTTAGGTTAAAAACCTACAAAATACCTGATAAGCATGCCTCAAAACTATCAAGGTCATTAAAAGTAAGGAAAATTGGAGAAGGTGGCATGGCAGAAGGAACCCAAGGAAATTATGACAACTAAATATAATGTACTATCCTGGATGGAATTCTGGAGTAGAAAAGAAAATGTTAGGTTTAAAAACTAAGGTATCCTGTCTAGACTAAATGTGTTTAATAATCATATATATTGATTCATGAGTTGTAATAAATGTACCAGCATGCCTAGCATCCTCTTCCCTCCCCTCTTTTTCTTCTCCCATCCCCTCCCTTCCCTCCCTCTCCTCCCTCCCTCATTTTTCCTGCTCCCACTCCCCTTCTTTCTCCTCTCCCTCACAGTTTGGAAGCAGATGCTCCCACTGTATGACCTGGAGGTGGCATAGCTCTGGCCTGAGACCTTGATTTGCCCCACTGCAATCTCTGAAAGATTCTGTGCTAAAAGCCCTTATCAAAGGGAGATAGATACCCTTGAACTCTTAACACCCAAATTCTCAGAGTTTGTTGCCATAAAAGCGTGTTGTTTCCAGCCACTAAGCTGTGATGTTTTGTGATGCAAAAGACTTAACTCATATGCCAGCCTCCCAGGATTCTGATGTGTGAACCACTCTCTATTAACTCACCTCTCTCCTACCAAATGCCTCAGATTGCAGTTACTCACTTAAACATGAAGGGAGGCCGTCCCTGTCTGAGAAGTCCATCCTGTCCCCCTGCTACATGGTTTCCTAACAAACAATACTTCCCATTCTAACCTTCTCAACACTGTGCTATACCATTATTAATGCTCCCTTCCATACTAGACAGTGTTCTGCATAAGTACCTGTCATTATTTAAAGTCACAAAAAATATTCATCAAATAAAAGTGAACAAAACCGCCAGATGGTGGTGGTGCATGCCTTTAATCATAGCACTCGGGAGGCAGAGGCAGGTGGATCTCTGTGAGTTTGAGGCCAGCCTGGTCTACCGAGCAAGTTCCAGGACAGGCTCCAAAGCTACATAGCAAAACTCTGTCTCAAAAACAAACAAAAAAATGAACAAAACTGGGGCTGGAGAGGTGGCTCAGTGTTTAAGAGCACTTCCCGATCTTCTAGAGGACCCAAGTTCTATTCCCAGTACCCACATCAGATGGCCCACCTGGAACTCCAGCTCCAGAGGAAGAGATGCCCTCTTCTGGCCTCTGTGGGTACCTGTACACACATTTTAATAATCTCTATAAAATCATTGTCTCTTCCATCGGTAACTACTCTCACTCTTCCTCATTTCTCCATGAACTGTATTTATGCTTTGGAGAAAAAAATAGCCCATGTTAGTCTCAATAATGAGAAATAGGAGCCAACTTGAAAACTAATGAGCTTAAATTCTGACTGGTTCAAGACAAGACATTGTTATGGGGTGCCCACCAGAGAAGACCACACAGACACAATCTTTTGCCAATTGGATTTTTGTTTTGTTTGTGGGTTTTGTTTTGTTTGTGGGTTTTATTTTGTTTGTTTACTTTTCAAGACCAGGTTTCTCTGTGTAGCCCTGGTTATCCTGGAACTCACTGTGTAGATCAAGCTGGCCTTCAACTCAAAGATCTACCTGCCTCTGTCTCTGCCTCTGCCTCTGCCTCTGCCTCTGCCTCTGCCTCTGCGTCTTGAGTGCTGGGACTAAAGGCATGTGCCACCACACCTGGATAGAGAAAGGGATTTTTAAAGGCAAAAATCACATACTAGTATCTTCCTTGGCAGCTGCAAGGGAGGTTTTGTGCAAGCAAGCAGATTAACAGAAGCTAAGATGAGCAGTTATCGGGAAGGGTGGGATTTCTGCACAAACAAATGGTTTAACAGAAGCTAAAAAAAAGTTAACTGGGGCATCTTGACCTCAGGTTGGATAATTTTCCTTAGGGCTTCCCAATCAAGGAGATCAAATTCTAGTCAAATCTAAAATGCCCTTAGCAAGAACAGAAGATGTAGGAAACTCTGTATTCTCTTGTCCTGTCACAACACCTGATAGCCTAGGCTATAAAAACCTATCTTTAAAAAACAAGGAGGAGCAGGCATAGGAAGATGGGGAGACAAAGATAGTTTCTGGTCTTAATTTTGGTTTGGCTCTAGTTTTTTTTTTTTTTTTTTTTTTTGAGACAGGGTTTGTCTGTGTAGCCCTGGCTGTCCTGGAACTTGCTCTGTAGACCAGACTAGCCTCAAACTCAGAGATCCACCTGCCTCTGACTCTCAAGGGTTGGGATTAAAGGAGTGTGCCACCACTGCCTGGCTAAAGATAGTTATTTGTCTTAGTTTTGAGTGTGGCAGGAAGAAATGTTGACTCATTTGCCCTTTAATTTCCCTTTTCCTCAAGGAGTAACTTGATAGGTTTAGTTATACAAGTCAGGGCTTGGAATTATGGACAGAATTCAGAGCCTCTCAGAGTGATCATAGAATGGGGAAGGTAGAAGAAATCAGGCCTGGGATGGGTGCTTTGAGGATGGTTCAGTAGAAGACAAAGAACCAGGCAATAGAGGAACCTAAGAGCATATCATACTGAGAAATATGATGAGCTTTGGGGTTTGGGGAAAGAGTGGAAAAGGCAAAGGTGTGGAATTGGGACAGGATACTTTCACCTTAGTCCATCAAGG